CTTCAAACCGAAAATATGAAAACAACAGGTAAAAAACTACAATATAGCAATTCTWCAATTATGAAAAAGAAAGATTTCATTGAGAATACATTGAGATTACATTTGTAATGGTCGGATCGCTTTTTAACGCAGGTTAAGCATGTTCACGAGATTATAGAGTTATTCACTTATATGTCTCAAGAGGTAACTAATTGTTTCTTATTGGTTAGAATTTCATCAYTGAAATCTAGCGCTGCCGGAAGTTGTCTAGTACAGCATTGTGATTGTCCTAGCCGATTTCGAAACGTGCTACGGTACGTAACAGTTTGACGTACGTTGATCGTRCCGTTGTATAAAATTTGCTCTTTGAGTCTCTCCTCACAGTTCGCTACGGCATCTTGAAAAATTATAATCCTGCGTTTGCAATGATTTGCCGAGATCGGCGCAGATGATTAGTGAACGGACACATCACATTGGATTCAGCTCTAACACTATCGCGCGCAACTCAAACAAGTTCAATAAAGATATGATCAGGGATGTCTATAATTCTTCTTTATTTGCTAATTTCGTCAAGACCTTCCACTATTCTATACATAATTTCCGGACGTTATTTCAGGCTCGAGCCATAGTCTTCGACCGKGCTAGACGACTAAGGTCGTCTCGCAATGGACTCATTCGATTGACACTAGCCGGAAACTGGATTCCCCATCCCTCTCGCAGTGCATTCTGGGCAGAAACGATGGAACCTTCGCACCAGCCTCGGAAAGGATGGAAAGCTTCTCCAATAACAAAGATGTTTTCTCCAGGGAATGGACGCTTGGCCCAGTTACTTATATCCACCATGGTGAAGGTTGTTCCTGGCTTTTGAAAATGCCTGTTAAATCGYGAGGATTTCACAAATCAATTTTTACCATAACTTGTAGAATTCTCGCGCGCTGATTGGTCGAGGGCCGTTGTCAATCCGGCCGTTGTCAATCCAAACGGAGCCGGCGCGCGCTAGAAACGGTTTTGTTTTTAAAGTTTTACTTTGTTTTCAGCTTTTTTTGTGGTAAAAAACAATTCGCAGGCGGTTTTCCATTGTCTGCACTCTTATTGACAATGACATATCAAACAATTGCCCCCACAAAGTATCCTTCGTTTAGCAGCCATATATGGTAATCTTACCTTATTTGGAAGTTCGATAGGAATGGTTTTTGTCGATTTTCTCGACTTTTAAAGCTTGAAATCGTCGGAAACTTGCAGATATTATAGCGAAAACACTTCTAAACAATCCGCCATTTTGTTTGATTCCATATATGGCATGGATTCGCTAAAGGAAGCCCAAAACTAAAAAGCACAGGGAACCCGCACGAATGATATACAATT